GGAGTAGGGCTCGAGTTCAAGGGTAGTGTCCTCGAAATTTTTTTAAAGCTATTTACTGAGGACTGTTTTTTTATTGTGGGCACGAATGAACAAACCCAAAAAAACAAAAAAGAAAATTTTAATTTTTTTTATCGCGAATAGCTGCCTCCGTAATGCCCTTAGTGGATCCGCTCGTGTAAATATATCATTTTAAAATTTAGAAATTCTACATCGATAGATTACTAAACATAATTTTCAACTAAAGATTTAAAATGTTTTGGAGTTGAAGATTTAAAATGTTTTGTTTTTTTTTTTACACAAGTAGCTAATTGTTGAATTTGTTAGATTTGTTGGATTACAAACCAATCCCACACTGGAGGGGAGAGAAAATCTAATCAAACGTACCTCAACTACCTTCTACACTCTACCCGTTTTGATATTTCTTAAGTCCAACTTGTTCCAATTATAGTCGTTTTACCTTGGTCAAACTTCTATATCTTCTCTTCCTAAAAGTCGAAACCGGAAAAGTCTTCCGGGACGGGAGTACTAATTTGGCGTTTGTGGCTAACATTAGTACGAGTAACAATTACTACATGATACATGTGTTTTAATTCTAGTTTGTAAACTGTATACTTTTTGAGAGAGAAAAAAAAAGGAAGAGAATTATTGGGGATGCTTTTAGAGTGGCCACTGGCGAGTGCTCTTTGGATCTAACGTCTAAATCAGTGTGGCCCAAATACAAATTAAAAGCTTTATGGCCCGGGGAAAAAGAAATATTTTGCATGTTTTTGAATTAATAATAAATCTTGCATGTTGCTTTGTGATTAATAATAAATCTTTTAGTTGATTGTGACTGTTGGCTGATTTTAACAATTGATTAAGTTGGTTGTTTAGATATATCAATTATATTAGCGGTTGATCGAAAATGTTCGACAAATTCAATTTCTTCTAAACAACTTTTATAGATTAAATTATATTTAAAAATATTTTCACAGACATAATCATATGATAGACAACGTAATATGTTTTGTAATATAATATGATTTATATCATATTATTTATTTCTATGTGCTCCTTTCCGCAAATAAAAATTAAGAAAAAGACTAAAATGAAAATAAAATATTGAAAATGTACTAAAATAGGAGTTCCATATTTTTATTCTCGAAATAAAATTTAAAATGCATTTAATTACTAGTCATGTACATTACCAAATGCACATGTACAGTGCGACATTAAAACAATGCGAACTCTTATTTAAGGAATAAAAACACGAAATTCCTATTTTGATACTCTCTCTATATTTTACTTCTGTTTAATTAAGGTCATTTCTTATAAAAATTTAAGTAGTATTCTTAAGTCACAATAATTTTTATTTATTTATGTGTTTTATTGATTATTTGATAAAATAATGAGAGTATAATAATATTTTTTGTTTTGAGAACTTTTGATGTATTTCTTAAATATATGATTTTTAATTTCTACACCAATTTTATAGTAAAAAAAATTCAAAAAAATATTTTTCTCGTAAATCCATCCATAAATTTTAATTGGGTGAAGGAGTATTTATGTGAAATACATGTCTACTTTTTTATTCAAGGAAATGTAATAATTAAAAAATTCAGTTTTATATAACAGTCAAATTGAAAGGCTACTCCCAATAGATTTTTATATTTTGGTTTTTCGGACTTAAAAAGTAAATCCAAAAGTCAAATGCCAAAACTCTACTCCGTATTTAGCTTTCCGACCATTTAAGACACCTAAAATTGGCCAAAATAGCCAAAAGTCATCTCAAAAGCTAAAAACTAAACATGGCCAAAATTTTAAAAATACCCCTCGCAACGTAACAACCAAAAGTGTCTTTTTTTTACGATATTTTTGCTGGAGAATGATAAACACTTCTTCCAAATGAGAAGTCACATATTCAATCTCCAGTGCGGGACAATAAATCTATGAGTTTTGATAGATTGAGAATGTATGAATAAATACGACATTGTAATATATTCTGAATCAAATTGATCTTATTGTAAACAAATCAAAATGTGAATTGAAATTTGAACCGAAGCTTAGGTATAGTGGCAAAACCACATGATAATGTAATGGAACATTGGCGACTTAGCCACATGAGAGTGGACCTCAACCCTTAACTTGCCTATATATAGTTTATACCCACGTGTGCATGCATGAAGTGATATCAATATGATACTCTTCCATACACTACAAGAAAAAAGGGATACGAAAACACTTAAAAAAAGTCGTCTATTATATTTAAGGACACTAAGACAAAGTGTCCTCTATCAGGGAGTCATAGTAAGTATGAAACAAGGACACATAATTTGTGTCATCTTTTTTATACAAGGACACTCTTAAAGCTCCATAATTGGCGTCATTAATGTCATACAAAGACACATAAAATGTGTCATCTTATTACTTAAACCGTGTTCTCTATTATAAACTATGACACTATTTATGCATCTTAAATTATTTCTAAAGTGTCGTTATTTCCATAAGAAGATACAAAAAATATGTCTTCATATACTTGGCACGTATCATTTAATTTGTAAAAAGACGCTCTTTGTGCGTCATTAAAATATCTAAAATTAAAGTAGTAAATATATGTACACTTTTTAATTCAAAGTTTCACTAAGAAATAATTAAAAATGGGAAATCCCAAAATACAGACCAATAATCAATTCAAGTTGACCAATGAATTGAAACATCTACTTAAACAAAAAAACCACCGCATGTGGCATCATATCCGATCCTATCATATACACATATATCCATGCATCTATGCTATTTCAAATCTAAATATGCTAACTATTAGACTTCATTTGCTTGGATATATGAGTCAACCACTTCTGCCCACTCTACTCGAACTTCATCAATCTCTGCTTGAGTGTATGAATCTTTTTCCTTGAACTGAAATAATAATATAATGGTAAATATTTAACCAATATGTCAGTATAACTTGTAATAGAAAACATGGTATTCTTTTATAGACAATTTACATTGGTTAATTACCATATAGAGTAAATTCTACCACCAAAAACTAAATTAATATATCTACTCACAGTACCATTACTCATTCCTATATATATTACAAAGGTTCTTCTCCCCTAAATATATTCTACTGTATAAGAAAAACTGAGCATTATTATTATTAGTATTAGTATTATTCTTATTATTATAATAGTACTCCGTATGTAGTATACTAGCTTAGGAATAATCTCCAACAAAGTAGCTAGGCTCAAGTTGCTGCAACAAAAAATTAAATCCTTTAATATAATATTTGAGAGTTGATAGCCTAAAATGATGACACGTGGCAAGTGAAGGCTCTTAATTTGAAGACACATCAGATGACACGCGTCTTAATATTGGCGATGCTCTCCTTCGTCGAACAACTCCGACCCGAATTAGGGATTCTCTCCCGACTTCTTCTTCCCCGACTGAAAAGGAAATTTCCCAATCTTCACGCTGCGTTTCTTGCAAATCTTCACGCTGAAAAGGAAATTCCACGCTGCGTTGGGTCACGGAAGGAAAGAACAACTCCGGCCCGAATTAGGGATTCTCTCCCGACTGAAAAGGAAATTTCCCTAAATCTTCACGCTGCGTTTCTTGCAAATCTTCACGCTGAAAAGGAAACAAATATGATTCCTCGCTGTGTTGGGTCACGGAAGGAAAGAAATCACAGGTACTCCGATACGGCTTTCCATTTTCTTCTTCGGTACCCCAATTTTCCCTAATTTTTAACCGAAATTAGGGTTGATTAATACCAATATGCTTTCTTCAATTGATTGAAAAAATTAAAATTGTGATTCATACCTAATTCATATTCGTATACCCTAATTAGAATTGAGAAATCATATACCTAATTTATATTCTATTAATAGATGTATTATTTCTACCTATAATTCTATATATATACATTCTCCTCAAAGAACAACCCAGAATACCCATTTTCTGAGATTCATATTCCTTTTTGTTTTTTCGTTTATTCCGTGACAATGACCACCCATCCACAATCGAAGATCACTCCAAGCAGTGAATGTTGGAGGATCATGGTTCGTGTTGTACGATTGTATACTTTACCCGCTTATAATGATGGGAGGACTACAAATTCCATTGAAATGGTGTTCATGGATGAACATGTATGTCACCTTCTCTTGATTCATCATATTCCTTCTCATTTTTTTGTTATACATTATATTAGGTCTATTATGCTATATAGGTTTTTTCGTGTGGTATAACTGGCATGTTTTTAGTGTGGTTATATTTGTTTTTTGGATTATAAGCCTGTCAGTGTGGCATATTCTTAGTGTTGTTATATTTCTTATTGTGGCATATTGTTGGTGTGGCATGTGAAAGCGTTGTTAAGAAACTGTATGCCTGAGGTGGGTTTACTAATTTCAATATACTTAAACTGTGGTTAAGAAAATAGAGTGGTTGTTAAGAAAACAGTGTGGTTGTATGCCTGAGGTGGGTTTACTGATTTGAATATACTTAAACTGTGGTTAAGAAAACAGTGTTAAGAAGACAATGTTAAGAAAACAGTGTTACTGATTTCAAAGCATTGTTAAGAAAACAGTGTGGTTGTGTTTGTTAGTGGAGTTAGTGGCATTAGGTATTAAGAAACTGATTTAATCAGCTACTGCAGGTTTAGTGAGGTGTATGGACAGATTAAGTATATAGAAATCAGTAACTGTAAGTCCTAAGCAGCCTGTTTTCATCCTTGAAGACAGCCTTGCTGCGGCCTGTTTGCTTAGTGTATGATTAAGATGTTTTGTTGTTTTTTTGTTATTATATTCAGATTTGTTGTTGTATCGTGAGAGGATATGTTGTTGCTGATTTTTTATGATGTTTAATTTGAACAAACAAATGTAGGGAACTACGATACATGCCACTGTCCGGAGAAGTTTGGTTGGAACTTTTGAGAAGCGAATAAAGGAAGGGTCTGTGCATGTCTTTGCCTATTTTGGCATTGGCATTAGTAGTGGAAATTATCGGACCTCTCGACATGAATTCAGGCTGAATTTCCAACGAAGAACCACTGTAACTGCATGTAGCTGTGAGAGAATACCTGTGCATGGTCTTAAGTTGACTACTATTTCAGAAATATTGCAGGCAGACTCAAACTACCCGTATTTAGTTCGTAATAAATCACTCACTTATCCAAAATTTAATTTACTCCAATAAGTTTATGATTATATCTCATATTTTTTCTTTTATCAGACACTATGGGGGTCCTAACTACTGTGGGCAAGCAAAAAGAAATTGTTAAAGAGTCCAAAAGGACAAAGATGATTGTGATTCAGTTAGAAGCGGATGGGTACTTTATGATTTTCATAACTTTGTAGCAACGACAATATGAATATAACATCTATACAAGATTAATTTATTCTTTTCTTTTTACTTGGTGATTCAGGGTGACGTTAGATATAACACTGTTTGGGGAGTACGTTGACAAGATCAAAAGCTTCTTTGGGAGACAACCATTGGAAAATGCGATCATTGTGATTCAGTATGGAAAGGTGAAAACGTATCAAGGTACTACAAATGGTTATATACTAAAAACATTATGTTGATTATTTTATGGAAACCTTATCGTCATCTTTTGTGTTAATTTTAATTTAAAACTACCCGTGTGGAATATTTGCAGGAAATATAAATTTGCAGAATGTCATGTACGGAACGCGTATCCTGTTAAATCCTGAAATAGAAGAGGTTGTTGCATTCAGACAAAGGTATAAAAATTCAGACCTTGAGACTTACCAACTACCGTAAATATGTGTCTATTTTTCACTCGCTAACTATGCACAAATGTCTCATTTGCTTAAGGATTGTTGGTGTGCCAACGAACCGTCGACCTCTTGAGTTGCCCTGTGATGACGTGACAGTTGTGCAGCAAAATGAATTTTTGGATGCCACACGAATGACGACAATCTCTTTGCAAGGATGGTAGTGAGGTATTGATGATATGTTAGTAAATATAATAGCCTCCAATGTTAAATGTTTATTATTGTGGTGATTTCGCCCATACGCTAATGTATGATTTCTATTATACCAGGATGGTACCTATATAGTGTACGCCACTGTTGTTTCTGTGAACAATACTGGGAATTGGTTTTATTTGGCTTGCAAGTGTAATAGGGCTGTGAGACCTGATGGTACCATGTACTATTGCGTGTATTGTGGGTGTCGTGTTATGAATGTCACCCCAAGGTTAAGTTTATCATACTCTGACTTTCCCGACATTCAGCTTTATTTTTTGCTGCATAGTGTACTAAATGTTATTTTTATTCAGGTATCTAATCAAGCTATCGGTTAGAGATGATTCCGGTTCAGCTATCTTTGTGTTATTTGACCATGAAGCTGCTTCGATTTTAAATACGTCATGCTCCCTTTTGCTGGAAAAGACAGATAGTGTATGTGTACTTCGTTTAATATATTTTACGTATTTCAGTTATTTAATCCTTAAACAGTTAATGACTCTTATTTTACACCAATTGAAGGATGGAAGTACTGAAAGTCCAAAAGAGTTTGCTGATTTTTTGATGGGTAAGAGTTTCCTATTTAAGGTCGAAGTCAAGTCGATGTTCAGAGGACGTCTAGAACAATCTTTCAGGGTATCAAAAGTGTGTCATGATGCAACAATCCTGACTCAATATTTAGAAGGTGTTTCGCCCCTTGATATAAAAAATACC